AAGCGCATAACTGTAACACTGTGAATTTTGCAGTGATTCGAATTACCGCACACGGCTGGAAAAAATTCGCGCCACAGAACTTCTGGATCAAAAATTTGGTTTCAAAAGGTACACGGACAGTGAATGGAAGAATGCTTGGCTCCTCAATGTTCAACCGGTGATTTCTTTCTCCACTGAATTTAGTTTTTTTTTTTTTGCTTTCGTCTAGATAATAATACAGATAATCGTGCAATAATGATAATGATGACGATAATAATAATAAACAGTGATAGTGATTGTATAATAATAATAGTAATAGTAATTGAGTAATAATAATACATATTAATAGTAATAATAATACTGCTAATGATAATGGTGGTAATAGTAGTAGTAGTAATAATAATACTAATGATAATAACAGTAATAACAATAACAGTAATGACAATGGCAGTAATAACAATGACAGTAATAACAATAATAGTAATGGTAATAATAATGATAATAAGAATTACAACAAAATAATGACAATAATAATAATTAGAGTAATATTGCATCCTGAGATTGAGAACTTGTCCGTAAGAAATTGCTCACATTTTTTAGGCTGAAATGGTTTTGGAGGAAACGAAAGCTATCATAGCTGTGTGCGATTTTTATTTTTTACAAGAAGATGGAGGCCGTTTCAAGGTATAGCTTGCTCCTATCTGTTTTTTTTTTTTCTTTTTTAAATAATAAACGAAAATCGCTGTAAATTGCTTTTCAATGCTTTAAATATGTACAAAATCGGAATTTTTTTTTCAGATCTCATATCCATTCCGGCCATATTTGCACTTGGCAACAGTTCCTTCATTCGAGTACCACGTTGCCTCGTATTTATCAAAGAAATACCCGAATGTAGTTACAGTTGATATTGTTGAAAAAGAAGATCTCGATATGGTCAGTTAGCTATAACTTCCATTCACCGGATACGACACATGTTATACATTCAAAAAACATAAAACGAGCGCGCAAGAAGAAAGTTACGCAATTGAAGTAGGGTCAACCGTAACTCATAGCTTGGTTTTCCAGCTATGAAATAGACACTTCGCTACAAATATCTTTGAAGTGCCCCAAGTCGTGGCGCAAGTGCAAATCGGTACTCATTTTAGGTATACGATTTCCCATACGGACGA